TTTTTTTTTTTTAAATGAACAGAAGTGGATTAAATAAGAAAAATCTACAAAACAACATGAAAAACTGCCTGCTGGAGACCATTCTTTATAGAGCTGCATGTCGACCATTTCCTCTTTATTCTTTTTATTAACTCTAAAAGGAGCTGAATTTATCTGTAAAACAAACAGCTGCTCGTCTCTTTTCTAACTGCAACGGTCTTTAAACACTTTGGTCTTGTGGAATTTATTCAAACTAAAGTTTACTGGTTTCATTAAAGGGGCAACATCATGTATAATGAACTTTTTTGGGTTTTATTTCATGTTATAATGTTCTCCTCTCATCACTCATTCATACGTTTGACAAATCCTGTAGTGTCCTGAGGCAGCAGGCAGGGGAGCAAAAACCATCGGTTGGACTAGAACCTCCTTTAGGGATCAGCTCCTCCTCTGGGCTGTGTCTCCGCCCCCCTGGCCCGCCCCCATCCCGCCCCCTGCAGGCTCTCAGCAGCAACAACTAAACATCTGCATCCGCTGAGCTCCTGATAACAGCTTCTCACTCCAGTCCTTTTTGGATTAAAAAATGCCTTTGACGGCTGCGATGTGAAGTTTATTTTCTATTTAAACAAATAAACAGCATTTTAATAACAACCGAAGGTGACATAGTTATTTTTATTATGGTATAGAATTGAACTATATGCCTTTAAAGCAGGGTCTCTAACCAGTAGCTCATGAGCTCTTTTATCTTCAGTGCTTATGAAAAATTAAGTGTTGCAACATTTAATTTGTCACTGGCCAAACAAACGTTATTTTATTCCAGTCAATCTGACGTCCCTTCCTCTTGGTTGTCAATCAAACAGTTTAGGGCTCAGTACAGTCGGTCGACAGACAACGCGTGGTCACGTGGTTGTTCTGCATCGTTTTCACACACATCTTTCACCGCTCCTGGGACACCCCTCCCTCTGTRGTATACGTCACTGCACGGGGTCAAGGTTTTAATAGTTTAGTTTTATTTTGTTGTGACTTTTTTTCTTTAATTCAGATAGTTTTAAATAGTTGTTTTTACAGTGGATTTGTTAGTTTTATTAGTTGTGTAAATGCCTGGATGGCATTCACACAATTGAGATCATTTTTTCTTCCGTACATTTTTCAGCACCTTTCTTGTTCCACAATTTTTGTGCGACTTCAACCATTCATATATCAAAACGTTCAGCTCTTTCGTGCAATGCCTGCTATGACTTTTGGTATTTCAGCTATTTATAGCTTTTTAGCTATTTCAACTTTTTTAGCCACTTTTTTCCCATTGACTTTGAATGGGGCTATTTTCAACAACCTTCAAATCCTTCAAATAGTTTCTAAATCTTTACAAAACCTTACACAATACATTCTGTTTGTGCTCTTTTTTTACTCCCTTGTGCAATTTTTAGCAACTTTTTTTTTACTAACTTTAGCTGTTTTCTGCTATTTCAGCTATAGTTCCGCTTCTTC